AGATGAATAAACTTAAATGTAATACAGTTCAGTATAATACATAGAAGGTGGCTTCTGCTGGTGATGGGAGCGGGGGGATCTTAAACCTGCACTATTTATAAAGTAAAAGAAAAGTATTTGTACTAGCGAGTCGAACGAATCCTTGAATATGTCCATGTCAGGGTACCGATACACTGATAGAAAGGATTAATTATTGTTAACGAACGGATTTGGTAGGAGACGAGGGTCTATTCGGTCTCGCCAAATGCTCATTCGTTAATATTTAAGAAATGCACATTTGAGAAGCCTTGTTCGACTGGATTTTAACTTTTCAAGTGAACCATTCGTTAACTATTAACGAATATTCATTTGGTCATATTCAACTCTACCATTCGTTAACAGTTAACGAATCTCGTTTGGAATAAATGAATCAGTCTATCAGTGTAGAAGATCAGATTTACCGCAATAGTCACTTGGTGGATGGGAGAGCAGAAGGCTAAGTTATTGTTTACTTTTGGGACGATAGATGCATGATCTGGAGTGTGTATTCGACCGAGAAAACTGGATATTTAGTTGTGATAGTAGCTCAGCACCATCAATAACGCCCCTAAGTTATTCAACTACGAAGATAATTGCCGTTTATTTGGCTCTTTGCTGTTCAAGTGTTAGGAAATTGATGCGTTTGTAGAGTAGATGATAATTTGCATGGGATTTTTAGACCAAAAATGTTCTCATTCTCAACAAAACTAAAAATTTTCTCATAACGACGATTAGAGATCTTTTTAGATGGAAGTTTAATTTTTTTATTCGCAAATTTATTTTTTACGAATATGATCAGTTATACGACGTTATATACAAAAACAAAAATAAACTCATTGGTCTCACTGAAAAACGAAAAAAACAGAGAAGTCTCATTATGCCCTGTTGTTCATTTTGCTTCGGTTTCTCTTAATAGCGTGGATGAAATAATGATTTGCATCACATGAGAATTGATAATAGTCAAAGAACATTTGTATTCTGCGGTGAATCAATTTTGCGAGCTGAATAGTGCTGTTTTTCGATTAAAATTACAATATATATCTATTGAACATAACAATGATATGAGCAAATAATAGTTTGATCATGATCTATAGCATTGTAATAGCACTTTCGTCCCTGGATGTGCGTCAAAAAGGAGCCATAATAGTATATTTTTAAGTTAGGGAGGTAAAATAAAGAAGTACTCACGTGCAGAACTACGTAAATACGTGGGTGCTTTATTGCATCAGCTGTGACTAGAACTCTATTTTTCGTCTCTGTGTTGGCGTCAAGTCAGATTTCAATGTGTACTTTGCGCCCGCCGGGACAAAAAATTATAGTATGAAAGATATCAAACAGATTCTAACATCACAGTTGGTTTTCTAACAAATAATATTTGGTAAGTTCTATTATGATGGCGATTACAATAACTAAATGGTTCTTGGAGATCAATAATAAATCGTGGATGAAGGTCGGCTGTCTGAAAGTTCTTTTAGAACTATCGTGTGTAATCAAGTGCTCATTCCTCGAACAACTACGACTTGGTGATCGAGCCGAAAACTACAATGTGACGTTTCGAGTTAGATCACCCACCGCATTAATCCTGGGTAATCCAACATGTGACTAGTCCCTGGCACTAGTCATAAATAGAAATAAGCTTTCCTTTCCTAGGGCCGTCGTACCCTATGTTGACCGGCTAACTGTCGCGTGGGATTCACTCAAGTTGGGAATGATATGAGAATTGGAAGGTATTGTACCGAAGATAAATACATGATTAACTGGTAAAAGCATGGTATATTTAACTCAACTACTAACTACAGTACACGACAGTGTTATTGATGGGTTCGGTAAACGCGTTATTAATATTTGAAGGAGCTGGGATGACCGTCCAGCTTCACTCCCGATCGTACTCTGCCCTTGCAGAGTCTTTGTAAAATGCTCAAGACCTAAAATTGCGGAGCAAGCAGTCTCACGGTCCCGAAACACTAAGACAATTAAGTGTCATCATTGACACACAACTAAAACAGTCAAACAGCTTCATTACCGAGAAGCTGGACTCAGATGGCACCGTGAGAGTGCTGAGCTCTGCTCCTGCACGATGAGAAAGAAATCATATTTCTTTTCTCATCGTCCCACATTATAAATTTAATGTAACGTATTATTCATAATACGTCACATTGTATTCAACAAATAACCGACGTATTAATGACAATACGTCACAACAAATACCGTGAAATAATCGGACGAGGCACAATTCAACTGCTAGTCTTTAGTAGGAAGAAACCTCGAATTACCTTAATTGGTGAGTAGATTATCACATTACCTAATTGCCAATAAAACACCTTTGATAAGAAGAGTTTTCTGTAAGGAATTGAGAAAATCATACGCTCTATTCTTTTAAAGCCTTGGAGAGAACCGGAAAGATGATTGCGAAATTCATATTGCTGTTCGCAGTAGCCTACAGCCGAGCTACTGAGGTAATTGGAAAATACTTATCGAATTTAATCTTATTGTATTGGTAGGGTGCATTGCCCATTATTCGAACAAATAAGACTTGTCAAACACTAGTGATCAAAATAATGAAATGTTATGATCACTTGAATGTGCGAACAGGCTCACAAGATTCTATTAAACTGACGCATATTATATTGTAATCTCTATTCGCTCGAGATCCTGAGTTCCTGAAAACTCGGACGGGTAGAAAGGTGCGATTTAACCATTAAAAGCCTTGATTAAATCTCAAAGTATACTCAAAAACGAATAAGACATGTAAAATCATGATAAAAGAAGTATTCACATGTATGAGAATTGCATAATTTACATGATGGGAAGAGTTACTATAAATATATGGTAGCAGTGATGAAACATTTCACTTAGCAAACAGAATACTACCAGCTATGAAAGTCATTCAGCGGATTCGATTTCAAGAATCGCTGCAAATTGTTCATTATATTAAGAATGAGTTTCGTGTATTCTGAAGATATTCTTTACAACATATAAAAAAATTTATCTAAAACATTATCCCCGATTCCAAGCGAAAATTGTTTGATTTTCTAGTTCAAATTGAGAATTTGCTCCACTGGAAAATATCAAGTAAAAATTATGGGAACGTCGATTTTATAATGCAAATGACTAAATTATCAAAATTGCAATTTCAGTTCCATCACCATATAAATGAGGAAGAGATTCAAACGATCTTTCCAGTTCCACGTCATGCAGGTGCGTTACGGGGGAATCAAGCATGATGATATAATAACAGAAATGCATGAAGAGAGATTACATCCAACTTGTTTCAGTTCCTGATTATGAGGTTGTTCCAGTCTTGCATGCGGTACATAAACGGAACGCAGACGATGATTAAGTCATAAAATTGAGGGCATTTGGCAACAATGTTGAGCTTAACTTGAAACCAAACAAAGGTATTTTGTATGGATACAATACTACTGTGCTAACAGTAGTTCCAGACAATACTCAACCTAGTAAAGTGAGGTTCTCTGTAGTCATGAATGTGAGTAGCGGAATCGCTGATTATTATATGGTTGTTCATTGTACTAACTGCGTTATCAAATTTCCGTTTTCCAACAATATAATTTCGATACGTACGGAAATGATGAAAATATTCAAAATTCTTTATTTTGATTTTTGAATTTCTTCCAAAGCCGTACGTAGGAGTGGGTTTACCACATCAAGATAGGCAAACCAGATCGGCAGTTATTTTGAATAAGGATGCTGATACCTCCCTGCAAATGTCAGGAAGAATTCTGGATCACTATGTTGTAGAACCCGTACCGCAAAGACTCAGCCATCTTCTCAGAAGTACACGAAGTTGCAGATGAAACAGACGATAGCTTCAAGCAAAGTCATCATATCATTTTCAAATAACTTAACCCCACCAAAGAGAAAGTTGAACAGGAAATACGTGATTTTGAATTCAGGGAGGTTAGGACAAAATGTACTTTGTAAATCTTCAACATTTGGTAAACATGATGTAAATGAGTTGCCATTGGTGAAATCTTCACGTTCTTTTACTTCAACTCGACATATCCAGACCTATTGACTACCAAAGACTGTGAATTCTGCGTAGCTAAGAATCTTTTTTTCAATTTCCAGAATTGGTGAAACCTCAATACTCCTATCAAAATATTCACGAACTGGGAAATCACAGCGTGACGTCTCTGGCCTCACCTACTCAGAGATTTTGGTTATTCTGGATTACTCTCTATATAAGTACATATAATCGTTTGATTTGGCTATGCTTTATAACAAAGACCGGAGCGGAGTCTTCAAAGAGAGGTTTATAATGAATGATCCTCTCTTATTTACACCATTCAGCAAAATCTCAAAAAAGCATTGACATATCTGTTGGCATTTTACAATGCCGTTGATCTCCGGTATAAAACACTAACTCAGCCAAGAATTGAACTGAATATCGCTGCAGTCATCATTTCATTAGTAAGTAGATTTTTGATAACTCACAAAAGAATTAGTAATTATTTATCTATTTTTTTTATTCATATTTCTTTCCTACTACCATTACGGTTTTATAGGCTCCCCATTCATCTGCCTTGCCTCTCCCACTTCTCTCTTCTGATTTTTATCTGCGTTACTATGGGCCGTCTTACTTTTAACTGTACCCCATTCGGGCCAGGACTGCACAGGAAACCATGGAAAACTCCGGTTACACAGCCAGCCGATTGTGCAGAGTCCTAAAGTACCCTTCTGTCACACTGACTAGAGTGGCACATTAGGCCACCATACCGTGCCTACCTTCCGAAATTTTTGGGCGAGGGTGTTCCTAAGCGGTCACCCATCCAAGTACTAACCGCACTTAACGCAGCTGCACTCGGATGTCCGCCAGAGCAACTCCTAACTCGCTCAACCATTACGGTCGGCCTGAATTAGTAATTATTTTACTTTCATTTTAGCAACACGGCGCAACTCCATTTATTGAGAGCAACACAAATAAAAAGAGTATGGTGAATGCTAGTGGTGTTCTTACAACAATGAGTGAATTCTTCTATCCAGGCGGCAAAATTCCTGTGAATTACGATATAGCAATGGCAATGATTTAGTTCAGTTTGAATTTCATTTCTAATTTATCGGTATCCGATTATCATTTTTGAAATGGTGTAATCATCATATTTACACAATGAACTTACATACGAAGGCATTCGATACCAGCGTAGATGGTAAAATAAATTCTTTAAGAGAAAAACATTTTATGGTGCGGTTAGTATACTGATGTTATCAAATTGCTTTAAGGAGATACAAATTTCGGAGGAGCCTGTCTGGTAAGTCCGAGCCAGAAAATAATACTTGCAGTTGGTGTTATTGAGGATAGTGGAGGATTTAGCGATGTACTCACTGCTACCAATGAATTAGGACATTTGTAAGACATTTCATGCATCGAGACTCGGATGAATTTTCAAAGGTTTGCTGTAGATCTGGGTATCTATTGAACAGTTTCGGAAAAAATTATGTATTCACCTTTTAAAATAGGAGAGTAAATCGTTTGGATTTCACACTTCTACATTTTTACCCGAATTATTTCGTATCGGAAGTCATTCAATAGCTACTCAAATCGACCAAAATCTTTCTCAATTCACTCCAATTCCTTGTTAATCATTCAAAAATTATCGGCTGGATAAAATTGCCTGGTTTTTGAAGATTGAACGCTACGCATGATAAAAAACAAGGAAATGATGAAGGCGCCACCAAGCACGGTTTTCTTATGAGTCCTTTCCATGGTCTCACAGAAAACTATTTCAACTAATCTAATTGCAGTATATAAAATAGATAAGGACATTTATGAAGTTAGAGTGAATAAGATTATTATTGGCGACATTAATGGAGTCTACTGCATTCTCTTAATTTATTGTTTTACAGGCCTGACCAGGCTGCATGCGTATTCAACGTCCCTCAACTAGGAAGTCCTCTTCAAAAAATGTTACCAGGGCAATTAATGTCATTGGACGAGCAATGCCAAAAATTACATGGCATGAATGCTTGTTCTGTAAATTTGCTCTCTCAAAGAAACTTGCCTACTTGTGGAATACTTTCTCTTGTGAATTCGGAATTTATTATTTTTATATCCTGCATGACAGCTTCATGCAGTACATGAAAAATCATGTTTCCCACAGTCATCTTTTTTTGATGGAAAATGATTCCTTCGAAAATTCTCACTTAGATAGCTCATCTATGCTCTGTTTTGTGATACTTTATTGTTTCCGCAATACAATAAATTTCCTTGTCAACTTCTATTCTGTACGGGTTCTCATCGAACATGCACGGCTAAAAGACACGCTGCTGAGGGATCAATCTGTGGTGATAATCAAGTATTATACTAGAGTAAATCTATAGGAATGGAGCTGATAAATAATATCTCTCATCCATACAATAGTCCAATCATAAAGAATGAACAACGTTCCTAAATCTATGAGTCGCTGATATATCATGTGAACGGGATTGCATTTCATTTTCTTTAATTTCACTCTGCAGGCCTCGATTTATTGATGATTAAAAATGAGCCGTTGCATTTCGCTCCTCCTATTTACAGTCAGTATCTAAATCCGTAAAAACACTCTCGACCTCTGATCAATAAGTAGATTTTCTTAATGTCTGGATTTAGAGAGGAATCAATCTTAAATCATACTATGTATTTTTTCAATACTGCATGAGTGGCCAGTGTGTGTTTGTGAATGTTACTGAATTTGCTAAACTACCAGGATAAGAATTGATAACTTACATAAACCATATGAAGTTCACTACCTCAGAACGACCAAAGGCCTCAGAATAACAAGAGGCCGTCCGTTCAGAATAAACAAAGATCATCAGTATGTCGTGAACATTCATGAAAAAATCGGGGGGG